CCCCGCGCTCCCGCAGTGCCCCCGCGCCCCCCGCGCCCCCACCCTGCGCCTGCAGCCTGGCCAGCTCCTCCCCGAGCGCGTCGTGCGCCTCCTCCAGGTGCCGCTTGCGCAGCTCCAGGCTCTGCGCGTACTCGGTCAGCGAGCGGATCTTCGCCTCGTGCTGCACCGGCACCGGCACCGGCCTCAGCCTCCGCCCGGGGGCACCGGCACCCCCGGCCCGCTCCCGGCACCCGCCCCGCACCATCGCCCCAACACCCGCGGGGGCACCGCCCTGGCAACCCCCAACCCCGGGACCACCCTCAGGTGCCCCCCGACACCCCCAGGGGCACCTGACCCCGACACCCGCGGGAACGTCCCCCCAGCACGCCCAGGGCCACCCCCAGGTGCCCCCCCAGCACCCCCCAGTGCCACCAAGCCCCCACCCCAGCGGAGTCAAACACCTAGGGTCACCAAACCCAGGGTCACCAAACGAGTAAACTCTGGTGCCACCAAGACCAGGGCTGAGAAATCCAGGGCGACCAAAACCCCAGGAAACCAAACCCTGGGTCACAGAACCCCTGGCCACCAAACCCTGGGGCCACCAAAACCTGGGTCACAGAATCCCTAGGCCACCAAATTCTGGGGACACCAAAGCCTTCAGCTGCCAATCCTCAGAGCCACCAAACTGTGGTGTCACCAAATCTTGGGGACACAAAACCCTGAGCCACCAAACCCTGGAGCCACTAAGTCTTGTGCCACCAGACCCTGGAGCCACTAAATCTTGGGCCACCAAAATGTGGGTGGCAGAACCCCTGGGCCACCAAAGCCTGGTGTCACCAAACCCGAGGGTCACAAAACCCTGTGCCACCAGAGGCCGGGGTGCCCTGGCAGTGGCAGCGCCCAGCCCTGGCGCACCTGGGAGATGAGGAGCTGGCAGGAGGACAGCTCGCGCCCTGTCACCTCCAGCTTGCGGTGGCACTCCACCTGCAGGCTCTCCAGCTGCCGGCAGCGCTTCACCACCGACTTCACCTCTGACTTGATCTTGCTGATGTAGAGCCGGGCAACGGCGAACTCCTCCTCGATGGCCCCGCTCACCTCCACCGGCTGGCACGGCATGGCACGGCACAGCACGGCAGTGGGCACAGGAATGGCACAGAGTGGGTATGGCATGTCATGGCACGGCACGGCATGGCATGGCATGGCATGGAATGGCACAACTTGGGTATGGCATGGCATGGCATGGCACAGTGCGGGTAAGGAATGGCATGGCACAGCACAGGAATGGCACCGCGTGGGTATGGCACAGAACAGTGTGGGTATGGCATGACATGGCACAGCACAGCATGGCATGGCACAGCGTGGGTATGGCACAGCATGGGTATGGCACGGCACAGCACGGCATGGCACAGGTGTGTACCACACACAGGTACAGCGTGGCACAGCACAGCATGGCACGGCCAGCACACGGGTGTGGCACGGCATGGCACTGAACGGTGCAGACATGTTCCGGGCACAGTGTGGCACAGGCATGTCCTGCACATGGGTGTGGCACGGGGATGGCACACTTGGGGGTGGCGTGGTCGTGGCATGGCACAGACAGCACAGCCTGGCACGGGATGGGTGTGACACTCACAGGGGTATGGTGGCACAGGCATCACGGAGACATGGAATGGGCATGGGAAGGACACGGGACCAGGAATGGCATAGTGTGGGTAGGCATGGCACAGTGTGGGTATGGCATGTCATGGCACGGCACGGCATGGCACAGCACAGGAATGGCACAGTATGGGTATGGCATGGCACGGCCAGCACACGGGTGTGGCACGGCATGGGGTGCAGACATGTTCCGGGCACAGTGTGGCACAGGCATGTCCTGCACACGGGTGTGGCACGGGGATGGCACACGTGGGGGTGGCGTGGGCACTGCAGGGGCATGGCATGGCATGGCCGTGGCATGGCCGTGGCATGGCACAGGCAGCACAGCCTGGCACGGGATGGGTGTGACACTCACAGGGGTATGGTGGCACAGGCATCACGGAGACATGGAATGGGCATGGGAAGGACACGGGACAGGCACGGCACAGCTGGGTGTGACATGGCACGGCTCTGCTGCGGGCACTGCATGGCACGGGCACAGCATGGCACAGCATGACAGGGACACCCCGCACTTGGGGAGGGCACGGCAGGGGCACATCCCACACGGCACAGACCTCCCCTCTCCCCCTGCCCCGTGCCCCCGTGCCCCGGTGTCCCTGTGTCCCCCCCCCCCCCCCGCCCCCCGGTGCCCCGGTGCCCTCACCAGTTTGATGTCGCCGCTGCCCACGAGGGCGCTGAGCTCGCTCAGGTCCCGCAGCAGCCCGTTGAGCACCTCGGCCGCGCGGCGCCGCTGCTGCCCCCCGAGCTCCCGCGCCCGCGACAGCTCCGACTCCAGCGACAGCGTGGTGGCCTGCCACAGCGACAGCGCTGGCACTGCGGGCAGCGGCACCCCGCACCCCCCGGGACCCCCCCGGGCCACCAGGGCACACCCAGGACATCCTGCGGGCCGCCCGGGCACCCCCGCACCTGAGCACCCCAACACTGCCGACACCCCATGTGCCCCCTGTGCCCCTGTGCCCCCACAGCCCTGGCACCCCCTGTGCCCCTGTGCTCCCTGTGCCACTACAGCCCCCACAGCCCTGGCACCCTGGTGTGCCCGCACTCCCAGCATGCCCTGGCACACCCCAGTGCTGCCCAGTACCGCCCAAAACCATCCAGTACCACCCAGTGCCTCCCAGTACCGCCCAGTACCACCCGGTACTGCCCAGTGCTGCCCAGTGCTGCCCAGTACCATCCAGTGCCACCCAGT